TGCAACGCGAACAGATTATCAGCCTCTAAATCTTTCCGGCGGTCCGCCAGGCGTAAATCAATACGCGAATTTTCGTCTCGGTTCCTCCTCAAAACGGGGCCTTGAAAACCGTTGGCGTGAGGCACTTAGCGTCGGTAATAGCGTCGCGGTATTGCGAAAGAGGCCAATGCGCGCGATCTTGGGAGGAAAGATATAAGCGTTATCTTCGAGCGCGTAAATGTAATTTTCCAACGCCACCGCAAATTGACGAATGTAGGTCGGCGCGGTTCACCAATAGTAAATTTTCATTATGTCATGTTACGTAAAGATATAGGAGTTTTATATTTATAGAGAAATATTTCTGATAGTTATCTGATAGTTAATCCGGAACTTTGTCGCGAGTTACTTCCAGTTCTAAACATTTCGTTCGTTGAAATACGAAAATCTAACTTTTATTTAAATTCTATATTTTACAAAAATGTCACTTCTACACAGAGGAAAAGGTTTCTTTAGATTTAGTATACGTGTCTGTTTGATTTGAGTTTGTTTAATATGAATATAATTTAATATCAAATATCATTTTTAACTACTGCAACGTTTGGATGAAAATATAAAAGAAATATGTTATTTGACGTAAAAATATTTATTGTTTGAGAAATCAAACATTCGATCGTTTACTCCATTCCAAAAGACAAATTTATTTCAATTAAAGAAATTTTGTTAAATTCAATGAAATCTCCCCTGTGTCTATACAGTCTCAATCATGTAAGTTGGTTCTCCTCATTCGATTAATTGCTATCTCGAATAATCGCTTTCGCGAGGAATGCTCCCTCACGCGTACGCGACATTTTCGATAACGAAACCTTACGAAATCGTAAGGGACAGATAAAAATATACATTACTTCGCAGTCATGATTAGGACCGATCGAACATGCCCCGTCGTGAGCAGTTTAATCTTAATTAAATCTCCTATAGTTATCTAACATTGCGTGTGCGCCGGGTATCCTGGATCTTCCTAGAAAATTGCATCCTATTGCAATCTATTCTCTCGCGGCGACCCTGCCGAGCCACGCGAGTGAACGCCGACGCGGTAGTAGTCTTGATAAGACCCCGTGCCTCGACTGTATCTCATAAAATAAATCCTACTATCGAAAGCCGTGAAAGGAAACCACGCGTTGCACTTGCAACTCGAAACGAAACACGCGTCTCATCCGAGATAAATTACGTTCCCGCTGTTACACGATTATCCCTTGCCTGCATCCCCTATACGTTTCTAATTAATATCCACTTCAATCGATTTTCTAATAAAATTATCGTATTTACACGATTTTCAAATACTTTCAGAATATTTCAATCCAAAGAATATCAATGAATGCAAGAGACTAAATAAATGCGAAAAATTATATCACGCACTAATGATCAGACTGATAATTTTTCCGGGATAAAATAGAAATCCGATATCTCGATTAATTTTACGCTTTAGTAAAAGTGCAGATATCAGTCACAAATTCACACAAATAAATTGTCAAGTATTAAAATTTCGCAAAACCATCATCGTAAAAGTACAATAAAGACATCATTAATACAATAAAACAAGTACAATAGAAGCTATAACGCGCACCTCTTGAAAATATCAAAGAGAGATACGACGACGTCGACGCGAGCGTGCAAGGTGGCGCAAAGGAAAGAGCAATTACGGCACGGTCGTTAAATTTCGTGGATATACCGGTCTTATGGACCGGTCGACTGCACCAAATCACGGTATCGCGTGATTCATTAGAGATCGCCTTATGAACTATAAATAGCATTAGGCAATCGTAAATTCCGCGGTCGTTAAATAAACGCACTTGCGGGGCACGTTCGCCGCGCGAACAGTTATCCGCAGGCCACGTTCGCACGGGGTACCGCCTTTTAACAGCAGCCTCGACACGTACGTACCATTCGCATCAAGGTTGGCCGGAGGATTCTACACGGACCGATGCCAGAAACGTTTCCTGCGCACCCCGAATGCATGCATATGCATTCGTCGTACGAGACACATCGTCGCACGTCGTAACGCGAGCCACCATCGATTCGCGGAAAGTTATTCGCCCCGGACGAAATAAACAGATGTATCCCGAATGCCTGATATATATATATATATATATTTTTTTTTTCTATTTCAAGGAAGCTATTTCAATCTCGAGAAAAAGAAAATAATCTTGAGAGCTAGATGACGAGATTGTGAGGAATATTCTATTTAGATGTTATCAAATAATTTATTATTTATTCAAAATATTTCCGCCATCGATTCGCAGAAGGTTATTCGTCCTGTAGGAGACAGACAGATATTGTGAATACCTGATATATATATAGAGTGTTAACAAATTAGCGTCAAATTTTGAAGAGAAATAGAGAGAAAATATTAACAAAAAATGTTTATTTTGAAATCCTCTATTTACCTTCAAAGTTTATCGGCCTAATTTTTTAACATTCTGTATATTTTTTTGTCTATTTCAAGAAAGTTAGATGAAGAAATTGTGAGGAATGATCTATGTAGATTTTATCAAATAATTTATGCCCAGGATATCCTCATGATATTCTCGAAGATATCTTACATAGAAATTCTCTCTGCAAAGATTTTCCCATAAAAAGAACATACATACATATTAAATATAACGGCACTTTGATCCACGAAACTTGATGGTAAATTAATCATATTATTAGCGCGACAAGCTCAATGAGCTATAAAAAAACCTTTTCCTTCGCCGGCATTTGCTTTCTCTATGTTAAATATGGATCGCCCGCGCATAATGATCGGCGATCGATATTTAATAAAAAATTCCTAACGAGCCGTCTCTTGTCATTTTTGGAAGCCGCAGTTCATTAACTCCGACATGGTCGCGAGACTCGTGAAACGACGGTCTCGACATTTTCCTAACGCCGTCCGACGCGTCCAAGTGTGCTAATCGCCGATGACGATGATCTAACGCGAAATGCAATCGTCGCGGAAAAAGGCTCCGCAGCCGGCCGTGTCAAAATTCGTTCGCACTTATCGCCTTCTCGGCTGCCAATAGAAAGCGTAGTCGCGACAGTAATTTGCACTCTGCCGGCGGGATCTCGGCGAAGGCTCATCGGCTTTGTGATCGGCACACGCGCGCACGACGACGTGCTTCCGCCTTTCTAAGTGCGAATTAATCGATCTGATCGAGGGAGGGCGACGGATGCAGTCCGACAATGAGCGCATTCCTAAACACCATGGGAAACCGACCCCGAGTCTATTATCGGATGTTTAATTACGATACTGCGCACGTCGTGAGTGTAGAAGCGGCGCTTGAAAAGCTGTCGAGGCTCACGTGTCGTGAAATTAATAGTGCCTGGCGATTCGAGTGAGAAATCAATTGATAAATATTCCTTACGTATCTCGCAAGACATCGAGATTGAAAAGCGAAATAGAAAATTAACATGGGCTCGTGTGATAAATCTGTGCGCGAAATGATAAAGGAGATCGTAAAGGTGAAATCGTGATGTATCTTTGCATACTTGATTGTGCGGCATGCTCAAGCGATTCTCTCTCAACATTGTGAAAATTTTGCTATATAAATATTTTGATATTTCAATAGAAGAATGTTATAAGAGAAAGTATAAAAATAATACGAGAAAAAATGTAAATTTAATAAAGAAAATATACGAATATATATAAGGATCATAAAAGAATATTTTGATATCACGATAAAAATATTTTTACTCGAATTTTGATAGAACGAATTTTGATAGAAACGCGTATTAATATAGTTTCTAATATATTTTCAGTATAGAGACACGAATAGCATTTAATAGACTTGCATCAGAAATATGATAAATTTTATTATTTTCGCTATTCACGAAGAATTCTATGGAGTATCTTACTGCGGAGCGATGGCGGATGCGCGAGCGTACTTTCACAGAAGCGACCGAGAGCAAAGGTCGTTCTTCATCGGCAAAGCTGAGACGAGCAACAAAGTTCAGGCATTCACCGTCACTGCAATGATCTCCGGAGAGTATAGTCTCCGCGCGAGAATGAGAGGAAGAACGATCGGTAGATGAGGATGCAGTGAAATGTCCTTTCACCTTTCTACGTTATTAAACTTCTACACGGACGTATCATTTCGTGCCGTGAAATCTTTAAGTGAAGGGAATGATAAATGGAAAATAGAAATCGCTATTATTTTAATTTAATGTTCTAAACAATCTCGTTCTTTTATCTCATTTTTCCTTCATTTAATGGTATTCATTGACAAGCTTAACCTTGTTAAAAAAGATGCAACTAATAAAAAATAACACAACTAATAGAAAATAAAAGATGTTTTTTAATTAATTTTAAACGACCATAAGGCGTTTTGGGCCGTTTTGTTTTATGTAGAAAGACGTATAGACGTATATCCATTGATAATAAAAATCTCAAAAATCAATTAGTGAGAAATCGATTGATAAATGTTCCTTATGTATTTTGCAAGACATCGAGATTGAAAAACGAAATAGGAAATTAGTGTGGGCTCGTGTGTCTGTGATAAATTACTAATTTTGTAGATTGGATCCTTCTTACATAATTATGGCCAATTAGCTATTTCGTATCAATCAGCCATCTCGCTCGTTTTTTTTCTTATGCGCGCCATACAAAAACATCTCGAGTCGAAATTTTAGTTCTATATTAAGATTTCAAGTGGAGAAAACGGGAATAACTTTCTTCCATTCGTGGCATCAAAGAAGGTGGCTCTAATAATGCTCATTTCATGCTATCAAGAGAATTTAAATCTCCCAGGAAGAAATCTGAAATTTTATATTAAGACTTCGAGTGGAGAAAACAAAAAAATAACTTTCCATTTGTAGCATCCAAGGGTATCCAAAAGAAGATTTTGGAATACTTAATGTAGAACTAAATAGACAATGTAGAGCTGAAAGTCGGGATTACTTTCCTCAATAGAGCAATCGAGACGAACGACTAAAATGCAGCGGTCCGCTCCGAGAGAGCGAATTAAAAGAGAACAGTTCGCTCGACTCACCTGAATCAACACGCGGGCGATCGCAGGCTGCCGGAAGGGGCTCGTCGTACTCCAAGGTCGCGGCATCCTCGTTCGCCAGCACCAGCAGCACGGAAGTCAACAGGAACGACACAGTCAACAGCACTGTCCTCGTGGAGCACTGGCCACTCTGGCGAGTCATTTTCTTCGTCTATCACACTTCCTCACTCGCCCGCCTCACTTTTCGACACTCCCGGGCTCCGTCGCACCGCGATCACAACGCGCGCAGTTTCGCGGTCACATCTTCTCGATTCGGGACCGGGCCATTCGCGGGGGCGGCCGCCTCGATCCGCCGCCCCGAAGAGGACTGTGTCGCCGCGATAACGCTAACCCGCGACCCGAAATTCGTCGGGCGGGTGAAAATTCACCGGGCGGCGCGGGTTTCACGCGCGAATCTCACGAGCGAGACACCGAGGACGAGACGACGACGATTTCGTATCGCGGACGACGTCTGCGTCGTTCGACGGTGCTCCATGTGTAGGGCATCGACGCGCGTAAAAAACTGCCGTGCGCCAACGGATGTCAAGCGAGGTGGACGCGCGCGGGCGCGTTGTGTTATTGTTATAGTATGTGTACACAGGCACCTCGCGCGTCAGCCACGACGCGACAACTTTGACAGGTAGGCGCGTAGAGGGGAGGGGGAGAGCCACGCGGTTTGTTAATCGCGAGCTACTTGTTTTGAAAGAACTGTGCGCCCGCCACACCGGCCCATACTCTACTGCTACGCCGCGGTCAGGTGTTTCCAGCAGCCGCCACGCAACCGCGGCGACATCTCCCGAGCGCGAGCCGAGACAGCCGCACGCGCGCCCGCCGTTCGAAACCGCCCGGCCGCTGCTCCGTCACGTGAGTCGCTCTCTCTTTCCTTCTCTCTTTCTCTCTCCCTACGCGCGCTCCTCCCGCGCGTCTCGCGCGTGTTCGCGAGCCTACCGACCGATTTCATTCATGGGGACACACGCCGCGGCGGCGGCGGCGCTTTTCGATTCGTTCCGCGGATTCGCGCGCGCGGCGTCCCGATCGCCGTGCATCGCACGTACCGATTTATTATTGCTCTTTTTACCAATATACGACGCCGGCCCGGAATACATATGAGAGACACGGAGGAACGAGATAGAACGAGGATGGAACCGAAACACTCTCTCTGGCGTACGCGAGGAACTCGACAGAGGAAATTGTTTCCGACGTTATTCTCAATCTCGTCCGTGATATCTTCGTGAATATAATCAAAATTCTATAGTCAGTCAAAAGATTGCGATACTTTTTTTGGTAAATTTCGAAACGCATCCTGTGTCCAATAGGAGAATTTTATTTTCAACAATTCTCAGGAGATACATTTTCCTGTTGAATACGAGATGCGTTGCGAATCTAATTGAATAATCCCAGATAGGACAGAAAATGACGATAACGTCAAAATGACAAGAAAAAAAACTATAAAGGTCATTTTTCGATCATTTTTTTCATCATATTAACGTCATTTTCTACTCTATCCGGGATATTGCAACCTTTTTGTGACTGACTATTGTCACACGTTTAATGCTTCAATAAATATCTCTACTGCTCATTCTTTAGCAAGCGAGGAGCAAATTAATACTCTCGACTTCTCTATCTTTTTATCAAGTATATCGAAACACGAATGTACTGTCGGTCAAAACGGCATCATTCCGGAATATCATTTCAAGCTGAAATTCTATATACGAGAATATATTTCGAAATTTTACATAATATTATATGAATTTATTAATCTATTAGGTTACTGGTAGCATCCAAGTGATGCAGAATAAAAAGTCGAAGTTCTTTGATCTATATTATTCCCGATCTATATTTAAGGATTGATCTAACTTCAGGTAGAACACCACATAGAAAATCACAATAAAAGCAAAATGACAACAGGAAAGTAATCGAAAAGTGAATTATTCACTTTCTCATGATTTTGACGTCATCGTGACGTTCTGTTCTACCTGGAACCCTATTGAGAATAGTCGCGTAGGAGTTTACCTCTACAAATTTTCATGGCGCGTCGTATTCGTGGGGGCAGTGGCGAACGGGATTCGCGCGATGCAGCAACCTTGATGCACCTCTCCGCGGCCGGCGTGGAGGACTCACAGGCATACCTGCCGGTATTTAATTAAGCCCGGTCGTTCGGGAGAAAAAAGCCGTTGGTACAGGAAGCGATGGGTTTCGAGTACGCGAGCAGCGGACCGTGCTTCGAGCGACCGTTACGTGACATTGGCGTAGCCAGGCGAATCGATCGCCCACGCTATCGATCGTTTCGAGATATCGCTTTATGACTTGAGGTGTGCTTTGTAAGAGCTTAGGCAGGAAGGAATTAAATATAAGGAACAAGAAATTAAATATACGAAATTGGAAATAAACTATAGTGTTTCAAACATAATAAAAGGGAATAGAGAATAAGGTGTAAGAAATGTTTTAAAGCGAGATGACCATTTTTACTGTACTTTTTTAATAAACCTCTGCTGTCATCAGTGTCACTTTTATTCTTTTTTCTTGATAATTTTCGATTGATTCGAACTGACTTTCATTTGTATCATATTGATGATCATTAGATATTTGGAGAGTAAACTGTTAATGCTTGTTTCCACTATCATGATTTAAATTGTGAATCTACGATTCGACTTACTCGATTAACTCAACGGAATTGACCAATCACATTAATCAGTTCAGCCAATTCCGATTGATCAATTCCATTGAGTTAATCATCGATTAGATTTAAACCATGGTAAAAACGGGCATCCCTATAAGCACGCAAATTATAAGAAATAAAATTTCGATAGTGTTTCCAATCCTAATTCTTCTACTCATCTTTTATTATGGATTGAAACATGGTGGTCCATGTGTCGAAATCGAATTTCTTATTCCCAATATTTAATTCATTGTGTCTGATCCTTAAAAATATCTCAGAATAATTTCGTCGAATGTCCTTAACTTCGCTGTATTAACAATTTCAATAAATTGTATTCCTTTTTTATACGTCTTGCGCCTGCGTCATATATGTACAAAACTCTATCCAGATTTAAAATTCATCTTCATGTTTTGAAATGAGATCCGTAAATGCTTTTGGAAACAAAAATCTCTATGATCCTACGACGTGAAAATCTTATGATTATATATCTCTGTATCTCGTTAGTGAGATAGGATTGAGATTAAATGCGACGACGTATAACAATTCCCAGCCGTGACACAAATCGTTAATCAAATCGTTAAAGACGTCCGTTCACTTTATCGTTAAATTACGGTATTCGGCATGCTCGAATCATGGATTATACTAACTGCGGTGAAAAATCTTCGACACGCGCCGTAAGTGTATGACCGGTGTGTATCGCGTTTACCTTATCGGTCTCCCTTCCTTCCTCTCTCCCTCTCCTTCTCTCTACCCGTCACCTTCTCCGTCGGCCGCAAACGGACAAGTGGCCTGCGGTTTTTCATCCCGAGGAAGAAACGAGCGGTCGATGCACCTGGGGATCGCGGGTCAATCGCGGCAGCGATATTTGCTCCGAACTCGCGCGGCAGTCGTTAACCCGTTCGTAACACCCGTGCGAACCGCGCAATACGTACACGCATCTTCCCCGCATCGCCCTGTCAATACGATAAACATCAATGATGACGAATACCTTCAATGACAATATAATACACGCAACTCTCGTCGAAATTTTACCCGACGAGCGAATCACGAATGCGTGTGTCTAAAATTACCGACGCAAACATTCACTTGTTTGGAAGCGACGCTCGTAGAAATGGCGGCGTATGAAAATATCGAAATTTCCATCGGACAGACATCATCAATGATGACGAAATACCATTAACAATAATATGACATACAGGATTCTCATCGAAATTCTATGTGAAATACCTGGTGCGTTTGTCTAAAATGATACCTGGTGCGTTTGTCTAAAATGATACCTGATGCGTTTGTCTAAAATGATTCTCAACGAAAGTTCACCCACGTTCGGAAACGACGCTCCTGAAAATGGCGACGGTACATGGAAGCATTCAGATTTTTGGCCGGAATACCACCAGCCGGAGCTAACGCACGTCTGATAGATCGCCATCGGGGCGATCTCTTAATTCCGTCGCGAATACATTTCCGCGCTTTATGGAGCCCCCGAAAGAGGTACATCGCGCTCGCGCCCCCTTCGAACCCTCGTAAATACATTCGACGGCATTTCTCGAAACACGATCCGACATGCACGCACGCACACACCGCACAGTCCGAAAACAACATCGTCCGTGCGGCTAATCTGCGGGGCGGCGGACGGCTCGTACGTATCGAAATATCGCGCGCGAGAATCTGCAGTGATATCCAAATGCTATACGCACCCAGCAAGACTCCCCCGTGGTTAAGGACGCCGTGAACACTCGCGCATAAATCATCCGACTCCGAACCGTTTCGTCGTCGGCGTCAAAATGGACGAGACCAAACGGCTACTTCAACTAATTCGACTCACTTCAGCTAATTCAAAGTAGTGCGCGCCAGTGCGTGCAGAGCGCGCATCGAACATTAGTTAATTATCGACAGGTTCACGCGGTTCCGTGTATTAACCAAACCCGAATTCAGGTAAAACAGAAAATAACAATGACAGTGAAAATGATTGAAAAAAAAAGGGTTTTATAGTCATTTCCTCGTCGTTTCGACGTCATCATTTCTTGGTCTACCTGTCCTTTTTCAGGTTAAACGGTGCGAAGTTCTCTGCGATGCAAGGTGCTAAGCCGCGGCTCGTTCAGCACGTATGTAAATCCAATTCCGCTCCTATGTTTCTCTACTTTTCTCGCCGAGACTCGCATGTTCTTGCTTCTTTTTTTCCCCCCGTGCCCACGAGGAACAGATTCTCACGAGAGCCGGTTTTACTGGTTTCCAGGTTAGATTCGCGGACAATGTTGCCTCGGTAGCACGAGAATTCGACACTTTTATCGACTGTCGCCGCCGCATTATCTCCAGGAACGTGCTTTCGCTGTGCTGTAAAGTCGCCGATTATATCCTCAACCGGGATCCACCGTCGACGCGTTATTTTCCCAGAGTGACACGAATCATATAATTCTTGACGTTAATATCAGCAATTTTGTGCTAAATTAAGCAAAAACAAAAGTTAACGTAAAATAATGATTTGTAGATGCATGGTAAGAAATCGACAACAAGGAAACGGATGTCAAGGTCGCTGTTCTCCTTCCTATCTCCTATCGTGACATATGGACCTAGAAACTCAGTCACTCAAGAAGCTCAGTTTCCTCGTTTCCACTGCTGATTCGCCTTCCGTCGAATCTACGAATAAATGAAAGGACATTAGCGGCGCTCACATTGCCGCTTACCGCGGCTCTTCGTCGAAAGGGAACGAGAAATTTATTGCATCAAATCAGTTACAAAATATGCCATAACTCTTACTCGATTTACGATCGCACCGATGCTGTTGACGACGCGTACCTTCGTAATATTATACAGGGTGGTCCAGATTCACCTCGACTAGAAAGCAAACAAAGAAGAATGATATACGAAGCAATTTTGGAGACACTAATGATATCTCCATTAACTTCAACCGTTTCGTGATTAAGGTAGTATTAAGTGAATATTACTTCATAAAATGAAAGTTTAATTATATTAAAATTTGAAGTCCAATTCCAAGTAGAACAGAAAATCACGATGACATCAGAATGATGAGAAAAGGACTATAAAAACTCAAAGACCTTTCGATCATTTTTTCATCATTTGATGTTCTACCTGGGATTGTCGCAGAAAGAAAAAAGAGGAAAAATTTCTTCCGCGGTCATTTGGATTTTCGCTGAGGTTAAATTGATTTTCCATTCATCCAGGAGTTCGCACACAACTGGAAGGAACACACCGGCCACTCTGTAGATACGCGGAATATACGAGGGCGCATCTAAATATTCATACACGATACATCATGCGTTGCACTGCGTTGCGCAGCGCGCAGATATGAAAATTTAGCGCAACAAATGTTTATATCCTCGTGGCGAACGAGCCAGCGGCTTGTTAATGCGCTTGCGCCGTATATACCTGCCGGGTGGAGACTTAATTAAAAATCGAGTTCGCCGGAATACCGGAGAGGTGGAATAAATTTCAGGTACACGGGTCATTAATTAGAGCGCTATCGCGCTACCTCCACGACGCGCGTTTTCGTGTTCGTACTTAAGATCAAAGGGAGCCCTTTAAAGAGACGCGAGGAAACGCGTTTGTCACACATACATATGTGATACCGGCCGGACGAAATTTGAGATAAACGTGAGACGCGTTTTAATCGGAAGGTGTACACGAGCATCGTGTACGGAGCATTGAACGGCGGAATTTATAACAATAATTATAAAAACAATATATACGGCAACGTTAACGATAATCGCGGTGTGAAACATGTACGCAATGCGCGTCTCATACCACGATCGAGATCGAAGAAGAAAGAAAAAAAGAGGAACAAGAAAGAACGGCCGCTCCGTTTCTCGCGGTTCCGCAACGGAGCGTGTTTTACGACGGTGTCTCGCCGGTATTCTCCGCGCGCGGTATCTCGCCGCTACGATCTGTGGCGCACATTGTGCGTACCTCTTCTAAGCGTGCACGGCATTGTTTCTCCCGCCGACGTTTTGATACGCGCGAAAAGGCATGATTTACAGGACGATGCGCGCGCACGCTGTGCAAAAATTGCCAAGACTGTCGAAGATGAAACGTGTCTCCTCCCACTACGCTAAGTTGGAATATTGCGCAAGGAGAGGACACTGTCTCGCGCAAAACCGAGTAATTGACCTTTGCCGAGCGTTACTTAATCTGTAAACGAGTCGGGAGGGACATCTCGCGGAGGAAGTCTTCAATTATTCGAGGCTCCCCGAGTTGAATCCGTGATTTCTCGCCGCTCGAAAATCGGACTCCGCAAGGCCACGTCGATATATTTAGCAACGGGATCGTCGAGGAAATGTTGCATCCTGATACTGAGGATCGTAGAGAAATGTCGGTTGCGCGTATGCGTCCAAATTATAGCGCTTAATTACGATTATTTTTTCGCCGGTTGTACGTCTCCTTCCTGTATTGCGCTCGCGACTTATTCGCACAAGCCCCTTCTCTCGGTGCATCACAATTTAATCAAAGTGCACGGTGAACTTGTAATTTCGCGTCCCATATGTCGGCGACTCTTTCAAAATTCACCGTCGGTTTTCTTTTTTTTTTCGTGTCCTTTCGTAATGCGGCATTGCGCGGGATAATCGAAGGGAGCGAAACTTACGAAAGAAAAAAATTACAGTTCTGTGGCTGAAAGTCCTCGGACAATACTATTTCTATTATTCACTATCGCTCATCAACGTAGTGACCTCGTAATATATTACATCACTTGAAGAAAGCTAAACGTAGCGTATAAAAAATTCGAAATTAAAAATGACTACATATTTAATATAGTTTAATGGTAAGGAGATATAAAAAGAATATCTCTTATGATTCGCAACCTTGATTGAAAGTATTTCATACAAGATCTTGAGAGAAAGAATGACAGATGAAACCGTAATATTTCGATCAGTTAGCGACTTGGTTCGACAAAAATGCGCTTGAGCAATGCTCCGTACAAAGCCCAGCAAATATTACCTGACGCGATCTCATGCAAAATAGGTATTGCGAGTGTTACCAATGGCCAGTGAAGGTTGGGAAACGCCGTTTGAATAATATCCTTAGCAATAATTGCTTCAGTCACGAAGAAGAGAGCGTTGTCCCCGATGAATTGCTGCATTCAACGGAACCGATTAACGTCCGCACGGACATCACCCCGCAATTACGATCCTCCACAAAGTACTTGACGTTTAAACGTCAAATTACGACGATGGGATATTCGATGAGTATGTATACAATAATTTAACAAAATATTTTTAATTTAAGAAATTTGTTCTGTAAACAAATATATACGCAATTCGATGCGATACAATACGAAGTAAACGTAGAAAATAATATAACTTGATGGAATTATGATATAATGATACCTTCAACATATTTTATCACATAACAATTATATAATACAAATCGTTCTTCAGTTTCAGTCCACTGGTGTTTCGCCGCCTGAAGAACATGAGTTCCGTTTTATATCTCACATAATCTTTGGCGCATTTGCTAGGTATAAATGTTCCATGAAAATATATTCGAATTAATTGAAAGTCCAATATTTAATGACTATTTAGTTGGTAATTGGTGGCGTGTCCATAGGTAGACTATGTTAAATTACATTATATGACATTGGCAAGCGAAGCATCTGGTAGGTACGTAAGTTCTCATAAAGGGATGCGGTGGCTGTGCTGGATCCAAGTTCAAAGAGTCTTCGCTTTCGTCACTCAATTCCTCGATGCTGAATGTGTCGGTGAGATCTTGTTTATGCTTTGAAGAATCCTTAGATTTCGCTGGAAAGAGCGTCATCTCGTCCCCACTGTAATTTTCAATTTAATGCTATAAATTGAGTAAATATTATCACATCTAAACACATTCTTTGCAAACATGATGTAATAGTAAAACATTACTATATTTTATAGAAAAAAAATATTTGACAAAATACAAAAAATTACTCTTTGAAATTAATCTTTGAGTCTAATAATGCGTCAATGTCGTCTGCCAATTCTTTACGTATGTAATTATTCAATACCTTTCGCTTTCACTATATTCGACTAGAGGAAGGTGTTCCTTATTCTTGTGAGGTATAGGCAATCTTTGGATTGATATCAATCCGGCAGAACTGGAACTACTTGTATTCTCGTTGTCATATTTTGGAAGCTTTATGTAATCAGAGTTGCGTTGGATTCGCTTGGCCTGTTCAATACGTATCTCTAGAGAATGAGATTACATACATAAGGAAATATCATGACACAAGATTATATAAATGAAATATCACAAATAACACTTGTATTCTTGCAGAAAGATAATATTTAAGACAAAACTGTTTCAATACCAAGTTTCTTTTGCAACTGCTTGGCAGTGTTTCGTTGAGGTACTTGTGTGTGATTACTGCTGGAACTGCTATCGCTGCCCTATGAGAAATAGAATATTATATCACTGTACAATTTTGTTTTGCACATGAATTATTTTTTATGTATAAAGAATTATCATATATCACATATCAGTAATTCTAGGTAAGTCTAACTGTCAGTGTCGCCTCAGCGCAGTACCAGAATAAATACTTACCAAGAAGAGTCTTTCATCTTCCACATGGCTAATAGTTTTAGGATCACTGTCAATGCCGCTATCTTCCATGCTTCAAGACATTTATAGATGCAGAAACTCGACTTCTTAATCCATCTGCAACAGAAGGTAATGTTTGTACTATCTATCTTGCCTTATCTCGTATGCTCAAACATGAGAAGGTTAAGGTTAAATCCGAGATAACACAATTTCAAGACACAATAACAATTCACAACGTCATGCGTCACAATTAGCAACACAGGAAAGATATTTAGCCACATAGTATAGTATAGAAGTTGACTAAGTGTTTCACTACTCATCACAGATTCACATGTAATATTTCACGTATATTATCGTAGAATCTGAAGAATTTAATAGCACATATCATCCTCCGTCGCAAAAACTACTTGAAATAATACGTTTGACAAATCTTAGTTGACAATATTTGCATGATTCCATACAAATACTGTCCTGCAACTTGTTGGAATGTTCACATTACCATGGTATAGTCCATTATTGATTTTCCTCCTGCCAAATAACCCCAAAGAGATAAGTGTGCTTGTCTCGATATCGTGAAGCGGAAAACCTACACAATGACACCTAAGATGCTATGTACACAAACAGCATTATATAAGTTTCAAACATCATTTGCAGTTGACGACTTTATTGTACACATTAGTTTTCACATGTCTATTATATATTTTTGTTATACCATAATATATATGTATATAAATTTATATTTAAAAAAACATTAAAAATATTAAACTATAAAATAATTGCAAATGTTTTCATATTTTTTACAGGATAAAAATTCTGAATTTTTCGAGATTGGAATTCACACAGAATAACATCAGCTGACATTATTCCCAAGGTCTAGCGGTATCCTAGGAAACCATGTCTAACTTCTCAGTGTTGAATGATGACAACATTTGGAACTTTTACCTATTGTATCTTTATCATGTTTATAAATGACTTTTATTGAGCTACACATAGAGAATAAACTTACTCTGAATATTTTCCCATTATCGTGCATTATAGAATAAAATAAGGTGATTCATTCCCAACTAGTTGGCAAACTATTGCAATTATTTTTAAAGAACCTTATAATATAAACAATGGCACCAACAATCCCCAAAAAGCAAGGCTCCAAAGTACCAGAAAACAAAGAGGTATGCATTTTACTGTCTTATTATAAATTATAATAAAGTAGTTCATTATTTAAGATCATATTTAAAGATCATAAGATCATATTATATATTCATAAGTTGAGTATGAACAATATCATGCTTTATAATCTTACAGCATTTAGCACTAACAAAGGGTCACATATCACGGCAAGATTTGGCTGCTGGAGACATGGATTGGATGCGAGGAAAAGTTTGGTTAAAACCAGATGACCAGTTACAATTAACAGAAGCGGTATGTTTAATCTTGAGTTTATTGTTCCTTGATATCATAGGATAATTCTGTATTTGAAATTATATTACAGGAATTACAAGAGGAATTTGCCAGGATATTAACTGTACATAACACCAGAGTACCAGATTCTTTAGTGGAATGGTCATGGAAATTACATGAATTTATAAGATTACCTAGTCCACCGCATTTAGTGACCCTTCTGAATATAGCTGGCACTATACTGCACAAAGACTCCGAAGAGGCCAAAGCACAATTGGCAGGAGATATTATCAGTAGTTATCAATATTATCAGTTCTTCATTTTTATTTAATATACTAAATGAAATAACTAATGTGACATATATATCTTACATCTGCATCCTTACATATACAGTTGATGGTCAAGATGAGCCAGCAGATGAGAAAAAGCCTGATGAAGCTGAAGAAGATGTAGAACTTGAAGAAGAAGAAGAAGGTAAGTATAGAAGATATACTATCATACTGTCATGCAATCATACATACAATTACTCAACGAATTATATTTTATCTTTTGATTGTTTTCTAAATAAAAATATAAATCATATATATATATATATATATTTTTTTTTTCTTATAAGAACAGCAGATGAAATGGATAAAATGATAGAAGGCGAGACTGAATACGAACAAGAATTGGAAGCTGAGCCAGAATTCGAGGAAGATGAATTGGAAAAAGCAAAGCCTAAGAAATTGCCCAATCAATTCAATTTTTGTGAAAGAGCAGCGTTGACATATGATAATCCTATGAGAGTACATATACAACATATTTTCTCCTGTGCAAACAACATATTTACCATAATTTAAATATTAGAATTTTCTATTCACATTTAGGAAATAAATATATTATATACTTTTACAGGATATGAGTACGCAAACTATACCTCCACCAACCGCAACTTTCAACACACATGTCTTCCAATGGACTATTTTTGACGAATATCAGGTATATACACATACAATTTTTTTCAATTCTACAATATTCGACAATACAATATTTCAGTTTTTTTCATTTCATCGTTAGGAAGACTATGCTCAACAGCAACGTGAGAAAGAAAAAGAAAAGAGAGTACCGTTGACGCAACCGAAAAAGGAGGACGTGAAAAAGAAGGTTCAAATCGAAACCTCGGCGATGACACACAGAATGCTGCAAGCCGCGAAAACACTGGAGCGAATGGTGAATCAAAACATCTTCGACGATATATCACAAGGTAAACGATCTTTATCAGTGAAATTCGAGAGAAAAAAAAATTATTTATATATATATACACACACACATACATACCTACGTATATATACTTCGTTAATTATTATTAGATTATAGATATTGGGACGATCCGAGCGATGAATTCAAGGACGGCGAAGGCTCCTTGTTACCTCTGTGGAAATTCTCTTACGAGAAAACCAAGAAACATGACATCACGGACATGTGCTTCAACAGCAGATATTATGATCTCTTCGCAGTCGCCTTCGGAACACGTTGGTAGAATTGCCTATTGCGTATTTCGTTTCTCGCAACTTTCAGGTTGTAAATGAGAACTTGTGTATTTTAGTATTGTTTAATGGTACCGTAACAAACGGCACGGTGTGCTTGTTCAGCTTGAAAAATCCGTCGTACCCAGAATGGATCTGTCCGACGGAGTCTCCGGTGATGTGCTTGGATTTTAATGCCCAACACCCTCACCTTCTAGTTATCGGTATGTAAATTAGGCAATATTACAGCAAGTATATTTTTTAGAAATGTAGTGGTAGTTTAAACGTTGACATTGTGTCGCTTAATAACGCTGTGTGTACAATAGCATGTTGCTCAATATGAATTAATAATAATCAAGGTACCATGGACGGAGCAGTAGCAGTTTACAATGTGATGTTGCCACCGTCCACACCGCAATACAAAAGCAACGACGTCGTGCAGAAGCACGGAGGGTTAGTATGGGAGGTCCGTTGAACTTTTTAACTTTTCAATGTTCTCTTCCCACACACTCTTGTATGAGAATTTCAATACATGACAAATTCCGGAAGAATTTCCTCAATAGGACAAAACAATCGTATCGATTTTAGATTCGCTGGGCACCCGACACCGAGGAGGGGAATCTAGCGTTCTTCAGCGTGAGCATCGACGGCAAGATAAATCACTGGGTGTTAAACCAGAACGATCTCGGCCTTACTACCGTTATGACATTATTCCTGGACCGACCACCTATACCGGGACCAGATGGCACGTTGATTACGCTCAAAGGTAATGCCGGGGAGATAATAATAAAGAGTAACCAGAGAAATCGCGTCTCGTTAGGAGTGACGATTATGTGCGCCCGTTTGCATGCAGGATGCGGGACGTGTATCGCATTCCATCCCGCGGATCAGAATGTTTTCCTGGTAGGGACGGAGGAGGGCACCATATACAAATGCAGTACGGCGTACAGTAGTATTTACATGAGGACGTATCACGAGGCGCATACTATGCCGGTGTACCGGATAGTCTTCAACAAATTCAATTCCAGCATCTTCGCCAGCTGCTCGGGCGACTGGCGGATCAAAATCTGGGAGGACGAAAGACCGTGAGTCAGAAGTGCAGAACGCTGTCGTTGGAATTAATTACGTTCGTATCACTCTGTAATATGTTGTATCATTCGCAGGGAACCTTTGTTCATGTTTGACTTGGGTGTACCGATCGGAGACGTTCAATGGGCGCCGTACAGCTCCACGGTACTTGCTTGCGTATCAAACGACGGAAAGGTTACGGTATTCGATTTGAATGTTAATAAGTACAGACCTATCTGTAGTCAACCGGTCGTCAATAAGCGAAAGAGCAAATTAACTCGGCTGGCTTTTAACAATGTGTTGCCGTTCATAATAGTCGGTGACGACAAGTAAGTGATATTTTATAAAAGATAAAAAAAATGCGTTCTCTGTGTGTGCAATTACTTTATAATTATTTATTTTATGAGATATATACATTTTCAGAGGTACTGTGAACACGCTGAAACTGTCTCCAAATTTACGGATAAGAGTGAAACCAACGAAAAAGCAACAACATTTATCACAGATGGAATTAGAATCTATGAAATTAGAGAAGCTGCTCAGTTTTGTGCGCGAGCCACCGGTGTTGACTCCTCCTAAAGACGTGAGAACGACGAGTTAAGTGAGTAAAAAAGTAGTACATATTAAACGTACACGCGGGGTAATCATCTTTTATAATCAACAGTTTTTTATTAATATTTGCTGTAACAGACGAATACACGTATACATATCTATATTTTTACAAATAAATTAGTACTAATTATGCAATTGAGTTCAAATAGTTCTACGAAATAGTAATTGTACATGGACTTATATTGCTAAAAATATGACTGTCAAAATAGAACAATTAGGGATGATTAATGCATAATAAATCAAACAAATTGATTTCGTCGGAAATAATCCAAGGGAAAATTTTACTTTTTGCACGCTTTCCACAGTTTCCCTCTTAAAATTACGCTTTTTGATTGAGCAGAATTTAAATAATCAAATTTTTACTCTATATATATTTACTGACTATTTCTGACATCTTATAAAATTATTCGAAATATGATGCATTATATGTCTTCATATATCAAACAAAAAAATATTTCTTAAAATATTATGAGACTAAATCTGTTTAAATCGTTAGTGTTAAATATTTAAGTCTCTAATACAGACCATAGCATCTACTAAAGGACAATAGAAAAGCTAATAAAAAGTTAACACACATAATGGAAGTTATGTGTGTATTATGTGTGTATATACATTGGAGAAATGTTAACATTTATATCCGCAAGATCTAATTGAAAATACTAAATTTATTTGGCACAATATTAACAGGTCGATCCATGCAAGGAAGAAGATCGCGGAAATCTCCCTACTCTAAGCCGAATTACTCAGAGATACAAAGATAACGATCTCGATAACAATTATTTGTCGTGATTTCTCACTAAAGGATGGCCCAAATAAGGCAAATCGAAATGTCAGCTTTCCTAGACGAGGATTGTTGCGAAAATGTCAAATTGTAATCCTTTACTCAGATGTTAATGTCTTCATGCATATAGATAAGAATTCCTAGTATCGTTAGATACAATTATCAATTCGATAGCAATAAATGCGACTCAGCTCCTGAGGTATCAACTGACGCGTAAAGTGAAATGACAATCACCACGTCGCTATTTATACGAGTGATTTGCGAACAATCAATCGGAACGGGCTAATCGAGCAGAAATTTTCCAGGTAACTCCGGATTCTCTATTACACCTCTGAAGTACTTGAGCTCAAGGAAGTCCCTGATATTATTCGGACACGGCACTTGTCTACCGGCGAACTCGATGCTCGACATCGGATGGAGAAACTGCTCCGGGAAGTCGCCATTCCTCAGAAACCACGCGTCCTTCGTCATGGATCCGTTGCGCGCGTAGAACGGCAGAAGGTTCACGTGCAGACGGTTCACCTTGGAGTACTGTACCTTGAAGAACTCGCCCTCCGTCGCTTTTTCCCAAACGAAGCCGTCGTCATCAACTACCGGTTTGTTCTTGGCCCTGACCAACCACGGCGACCTCGTCAAGTCGTCTCGGTTCAATCCGATTTGCACCTCGTGATCCCAAGGTAGAATATCGCCGCTCCTCATCGCACCCAGCAGCGATTGACCCTCCAACCAAAAACGAATGCCCACCTCCTCAAGTTTGTCGATCACGTGGTGGGTCACTCTTCTCAGTCCGGCTAGGCAACAAGGCGGCGTGTAACGACTCTGATAGAGGTACGACGGTACGCTGTTTATCACGGAGCCGAAACACCGCGCGGTCTCCCGCGAACAACCGTACCACTCCACGGAACCGGAAGCCCTCGTAACTTTCTTCATCCCCAATTTCTCGAACATCAGTCGTTCCCGCGTACGATGCAACTGCTGCACCTTGAACTGCGCCTGTTGATTTCTGTACAACGGCTTTCCCTCGTTGAATTGATAATTCTTCAATATATGTATCTGGAAATACGAGGAACACCGTAAGCGCTCGTTTGACTAATAATTTTCAGAAAATTTATTTGCGCAGAAATACACAAGAAAAATATGCAACAAACCTGCATACTTTCGAAATATTAAGAAAGATATATAATGCATAAGAAATACTTACCACTCAAATAAAAAAAGGTCTTCAAACACAAGATAAACACTGGCTAATAATCACTGACACAAAATACAAAATATTCATAAAATAATCCCGACTGTGTATAAGAGAACAGGTTTGAAAAATACTGGCAGTCATTGCAAAACCGTGCCCATGCTACTCCAAAAAAAGAATCAATGAATTTTCCCGCCACAAGCACAAAAATAAGAGACAAATTATTTAATCAATTAATGTGTCAATCACAAACCTTTGCACCTACAGCTGTTGTCTGGACATACAGCGCATCCGTGAAGGGCAGCAAGAAAGGATCTGAGAGTTTCCTCAAAATTTTCGCATCAATTATAGTCACATGCTTGCCCACCACACTATCACATTCTGTTCCTGAAACCCGTGTCACCTTCAAAGTCCACTCTTTCACTCTTAGATCTAACTCGAGACAATGCAAAGTGATCTTTCCCACTGGCACAATGACTATTCCTAATTTTGGCACCTGTGAGATAGTCTCCTGCAAAGAGAACAACATTATTAAAGAAATATTGAACAGTTACATTTTCCTTTGCACCGTACAAACAGGACCTACCTGAATGACCTGCTTGGTAGACAATCTCGTCGCATCAGGCAAGAACATGACGAACTTAGTGCGTATATAGTACAGTGGATTCCTCTCCTCGAAAGACTTGTTGAACTCCGGCCTTAAGCTGATCAATCTGACATTCTTCATGCTCTCATTGGCAAAATCCAGCTCCAACGGTGGATAGGGCAGCTCATCGCAGACTATCAGGATGGGTACCGCCGGGAAGGAATTCAAGACAGACTCCACAACGGACGCTACGTCGTTCTCGAAGCTCTCGAACTGCCTGATAACGATGGTGACCAGCCGGGCCAAGTGCCGATGAAACTTTTGCGGCGGTTCGTTCGTGGTGACGCTCGGTGTCAGCAGACGCAGGGTGTTCTGCGCCGCGAACAACCGCCATATCCTATGCCAAACGATGATGTTTCCCAACAACGCGAGCACCAGGACCGCCCTGACGAACCTGAGGCGCATTATTACGGTACTCGATGTAAGCACATCTTACGTCATTGGTGTGAACGGCACCTATCTATATTATTCCGATGTCGAGCTCGTGTTTGACAGTTCCTGACATTTCTGTCATATCGGAAGAGTGATCGTGAGTGTGAGGTGCACGCGCGTAAATTACAGGTTGTTCCGCTCGATTCAATGAAATTCTAAGCAGTTATAAACTTGAGATCAAGCCCAGAATGAGGATTTCTTTTCCGATATAAGCGGACGCCTGCGGAAACGTTCGAAGTGATGTTTGAGGTTAGGTACATCGACAGGCTTGCTTAAGGACCGGCAGGAGGAACTGTGGAGGTCTCTCGCGGAGACTCGCGAACTATGTAGACAAATTACGCACAATTTAATAATCAGGAGAAATATTTGCAGTGCAGAGCGAATTTTTGGAAATAATAACGCGATAACTTATTTGATTGAGTATTCGATTTTGTATTCATACGGCGCATATCAATTGCAATAAAATCAATTGTTTGAAAATTCCATATGCGATTATTGGAGACATTCTATTTGGTAACGGATATTCATAGTTCATAATATCCTCAGAGTTAATTTAGTATGTCAACAATTCCCAAGAAGCACAAGAAAAACTTGTAAACACACACCTTTTTATTATTAGTGTCTTCTGAACAATCACTAAGTATATATGTAAGGTTTACAAAAGAAAATTTATTATATCGACTAAAGCGCCGAGAGTATATCACATACGTTACTTCTAAATTAATATTATAAATCAGTAATTATCTATTACACTAAAATTTCGGAATATTTATGGAAAGTTCCGAAATATCTACATTGTATCAACAATTAGCAAGCAGTGAAGCTGCCCTTTATAATAAGAGTTTCAATCCGAATGTTTGTCATGTTTGCAAGTTTAAAAGTCGCGAAGGTTACAAAACTTGTGAGATCTGCGAGACAAACCTTTACTGCAGCCTAGAGCACAAGATGGAAGACCAACTGTATCATAGGCAAATCTGCCAAGCTATAAGAGATGTTGAGACTAACCATCTGCACCTTTATCGTTTATGCAAAGAACAAGAGGAATGGATCAATCTAAGGAAAGAATGTTTGCGTTTAATCAAGGAAAAGCTGTCACGTGATCTAGAACCGTATGAAGTGCAGATGATTATGTTCAAGCAATCCTGCTTTATATGTCACATACAGTGCAATCTTAGTACTTGTACAACGTGCTATTCCATTAACTATTGCCCTAATCATAAAGAGAATTTCAAACACTTCGATCACGTTTCAAATTGCAAGGACTTGAAATTGTGTCTCAACATAGATATCGCACTACGATATAATTCACCATCACCTAGAAAATTCATTGATTTTCCTGAAAAAGGTAAACCTTTTGTTGATATGGATTCATTCCTTACAAACTATTTGGCCAATGTAGAATTTGAAAAATATTTCTACTCTGATTATGTATCAGGTCCGCTGACACTATATTATGGAATGTATGTTGGAGATTTAAATTTTTTAGGTATCCTATCTTACTTTACTGTTCTTATAATAGCCGCAAACTTTTTGGATAAAGAATATTCGCCAGCTTGGGAACTTTTCATGCATATTTTCAATAAGATAGAAAATTTAACAATTATATTGATAGGACCAGAGTTACAAAACAAATATTATGATATCACTACTTGTAATAGAAAATGCTTATCATTCTGTAAAAGAAAAAAGCTTAATTTCGAATGTTATCATATGTCGTATTATGAATATGTTAACTCTACTTTTTATAGACAACCAAATGTAATTGTAGGATATCAAACAGATTTTAATGATTGGGAGGAAACGTCAATCAAGA